CTCATTACCAAGGTTTCTTGCAATTAATAGTACATGTACATACTGCCACGTTACACCACAGCTAAAAGCAGTTACAAACTCCACCAACTCTATCTACAACAAGCAGCCTGCTACTCTAAAAGTGGGCGCTGGGAGGTTAAAAACACTGCTTCACCTCAGGGTTCCTTACACCGCCTTAGAATATGAAAAGTAAAATTTGCGAACATCTGGTTTTCCTTTCCACCCCCTATGATATCATGTTTTCCAAGCGCATTTGGCAGCTCACCGTAAAGATACAGGCAGACTAAACATGCAGGGCAATGCCGAGTCAAGATGAAAAATTCCAAAGTCCTGGATGCAGTAAGTGTGTTTCCTACCCCCAAATTTCACAGTTAGGCAAGTGGTACGCTAAGAGGTTTTTAATCCCTTTGGTAACTCATGTGTTCTTCAACCTTCACTCTTCCTTGATGAGATGAAATGATACGCTGCATAGCTGTCCTCTACGGTTTGGGCTCTGTCTTGGTATTTTTTTTCTTGTATTATGGGATATTTGGGGTTACTATACAGCAAGATTCAGTTATAGGAAAAATAATTATGTTTAACGGGGGCAGATGATGCGTGTACTTTTTTTTTTTGTAAAAAATCCCACCCCTGAAGATGAGGTTACTCTCCTAAATTATAAAGTATAAAAGGAACGAAACCAACCAAACAAACAAAAACCAAAACACTACAATCACTGCCCCTTCACTGCTTGGTTTTATTCCTCAGCCTATACTGAACCAAGCCAGCTCCAGGGGACTGTTCCCCATGAATTTACACAGGCTGTAAGCAGTAGGGAAGAGTGGCTGTTACAAAAACCAAAGAGCTCCCATTTAACCAATTTCTCTCATATATTTTACCATATTTTGATGCAGCATTTTCATTTTTCTGCCTTTACCTATTTTATCATTTTTAGCTGGGCACATACAAAGCAGATTAGTCAGCGTTAACATACCTTTAGGCTTAGCACATTTTACTAATGCACAAGAATGCAGCCAATTCATCTATGCTCACCAGTAAATGAGCAGCAAACCTGGAAATTCAACCCCAGTTTCTCGATCTAAATCCAAATTTCTGTTTTGCAAAAAGACAGCTTGGAAACGCAAACAGATGTCTTGGGAATCCTAACACGACCGAACCTTTGGCTTATTATTATACATTTAAAAGCAATGTATATCAAAGTAATTATTTAAGTATACAAAGGAGGGAAGTATGTATTCAACAAAAACAAAACAAGAAAACAACTGACAAAATAATAGTCCCAGTGGTTATACCTTGATTAAAACGTAATGACTAATCAATAAAACTATAATTATAACTTTCAGTCTGATGCAATTTGGAAGAGTTTATATATCTTGATTGATCTGTTAAGACTTTATTAAAAAACAACTGTAAGAAGATCTTGCTTAGTGTTATTTTTATTACAGATTCGCTGTAGCAAATCTCTAAGTCCCTGCCTCAATATTTTACAGTTTATTTCTCTCAGCACACCAAGAGAAGAAGAAAAGCTAGCAAAAAGCAAAGTCTTATTGGCTGAGAAATGGTTGTGACAACATCACAGTTTCCACACCATAAAGTCAGATTGCCATTTCAAGGCTATCACCACACATTTCTCTGGCCTTAGGGCAGCAAGAGCCAAGCACACAAGGCACAGATAAAGACTGCCCTGAACAGCTCATTTAACTATGCAGCATCTCAGTTTGAAAAAAAAATGAAAGCAGTGCCTGCCTGAGTTGTAAGGATCACACAAACACAGACCACCTTGGAACAGTCAGGCAGCAGGTTCTGTAATCACGCACAGGAGTCAGCTGTAGCCGACCTTTCTCTGGCTGCTGCTGATTCAATTACCCAGTTGTGGTTTTCTTGCAGGATACTCACAAGCAGAGGAGGTATACTATAAATAACCCACTCGCAAAAGAAGAGAGAATTTTTCAGTGGATTTTATAACAGAACACTGGTACCTCTTCCTAAGCCCAATCACCACTTTGCTTGATTCTGAAACAGCAGTAGGGAAGCTTAAGGCACCTGTTCCGTGATGTTCCAAGCAAACAAGGAATTTCAGAGCGGTGAAGAACCTCTAACAGCCTTTGTAGGATTTCCATAGAAATAAAGTCTGTGCACTGCCTGAAGTTAAACATCATAAACTAGCAGCACAGACTCTAATCAAGATCAAGAAGAATCCGCCTGAGGAGGCGACACAAACGTATCCCACCCAGCCCTAAATCTACCATCTTCTATCTACTCCTGCCTATGATTATACTACAGGAGGGGTATGCTGCATTCACCTATCTTCATGTGCTTGGTATGGTAAATTAAGTTCACTGTCTCAGTCCCATTCAGTCTGATAAGTATCATTTCCACAGAAGAATAAAAATGACTTGGGAATCAAAGCTGAAACCACGGAGAGCAAGAATAGCTGAACTGCTTCCCAGGGGAAGCAGCTATGCCAGTCTGATATAATAGCAAGGCATCGCAGAGCTAAGGCAAAATGGCACAGCTCCATCTGCACTCCTTGCAGCCTGGGACCAAGCCACTCAGAGGAGCATAAATACACAGCTACGTGCGAAGGAGGGAAAGCAGCGAGCTTCCTGAGAGATTAAAAACCTCAGTTAAAAGCAAAATATGGAACCAAAGACACAAACCGTTTTTCTGCCCCGTATCACAGGCTGAGTTTAAGTTGCAAAAGAGCCAGAAATATTAATTTTGTATAGCCCGCTGCCCTCCCCTTGACCTGTGGGGAGGCAGCCCACACCCCACCTCATCACTGCAGCCAGGAAACACCCAGTGTGACAAAAGCAGGAACAAGGAGGGGACAGCGCTGGCAGCCACAGCAGCGGACTGTTTACAGCTGAACACCCAGACCCGACCACTGCCAAGGCACAGTTCCAACCCTGCAGTTAAAAACAAGAGGGACATCTAGAGAAAGATGGACTTTGCTGAACGTGGAAAATGTTGGATTCAGCTAACCCAAAGCAGCTCTGCTCTTTTTGTTTGCAAGCAACCTCAGAATTAGTTTTTTTAAATGTAATATTCAAGCTGGTCTGTGAATTTTACTGCAAAGGGAAGGCAGCTTCTAGGCCTGAATCGCGAAACAGCGTGGATAAAGCATCTCTGATATCTGCCAATAGACAAGTTTGTGTCCGGATCAGGCAGGATGGAAGCTCTGGTCAGTGACTGATCACATCAACAAGTGTTCTTTTTCAACACTTGCTGCAGACTATTTAGACAGGAAGTTATTTCTAGTTTCTGTCCCATACTACCCCTTCCCAGAGCTGAACTTTCAGCTCTGTGGCTCTTCATGCTGTCTAGTCATCCTGACATGGCATGTTGGTGATGAAAATACTTTTAGGATATTAATCTGGAATATAAAGTCACTTTTAAATGTACCCTTGACATTACTTTAGTATTGAAAACTTTTCCCTCCTCTCTACAAAAAAATACATAAAATAATGAAAATAAATAAAAAAATCATAAAAGCAATTGAAAAAATAATAAAATATATATCAAAAAGAGTGGTCAGTATAAGATAAGAAATAGCCTAAATATACCATATTGGAAAGTCAAGAGGGCAGAAGTATTTTATTATTTCAGTCCAATAGTTTAACATTGCTCGCTTGGGTAATGGTTGGACTTGATGATCTTAGAATTCTTTTCCAACCTAAATGATTCTACTTTATTTGTTTGGATACTGTAAGTTGCAAACAAACAAAAAACTACTTCCACCCACTACTAAATTCTACAAAGCCCACGCTGTTAAGAAGGGAAGGGCAACCTAGGTATCAAAAAAAAAAAAAAAAAGCAAAGCTTTTCTGGTGACCTTTCTTATTGATCATCTAAAGTGTTCAATAGAACTTGGTCTCAATTATTCTCAGTACTGTTTGAACCTTGGCAAAGCAAGTTGTTACTTGCAGCTCCAGATCCTGCTATAAACAAAGTAATTAGAATTTAAAGGATAAGAAGCACAGCAACTTTTCCAAGGAGTGGGTGGAAAAACATTTTAAAAAAGCTTGTATACAGACATGATTTTCATTATTCACTTTTTATCCTGCAATAACCCAACCAACACACGAACCTAAGGGCTACTGCTACCAGAGAAACTATGAAAAACCGTCACTAAAAGGTGCCCATTCCAAGGAAAGAAAATCATTGCCTACCCATGACACAGGCTTTGTCAGAAAAGTGCCCAGGGAAGTAGTTCAGTCACCATCCCTGGAGATCTTTAAGACGTTTAGACGTAGAGCTCAGTGATATGGTTTAGTGGAGGACTGGTTAGTGTTAGGTCAGAGGTTGGACTCTGTGATCTTGCAGGACTATTCCAAACTAGATGATTCTGTACATTAGATACATTAGTCTGTAAGTGAAGTTACACAGCTGCCAGTTGCCATATCCTGTCCTATGTACATCCACTAGAAGATTCTGTTTATAAACACTAGGAAGTCTTTTCATCAGCATGACACTCTCTTTCAGGAAATGGTGTTGGTTATGAATGCATTCAGGGAAGAGGAGAAAAATAAATATTAATTAATGAATACAGACTTTTACCACCTAAGCTGCATGGGTTTCAGATGATGGCACCCACCTGCTTTACTACTGTAAGACAGTTGTGTTGTATGCAAAAGCCTTTTAAAAACAAAAATAATTTCCGTGACTACCCTACCTGATGTTGAAAGGCTGTGAACTCAAGAAAACCCTTCTTGAAAGTTAATGTTGACACACAACCACTACAGTGTGAAGGTGGATTCATATTTCAGAGCAATGCACAGTTCCTACTGACATAGCAAGCTCAGCCTAAGAACTTGTTTATACACTTGGAAAGAATCCTGACAAATATCAGCACATCATTAAAAAAAAGAAGTATTATAAGAACTGTCAAGTGCATATATGGGCAGCAGTCAGAAAAGACATGACACCAAATATGAGTTCCGTAATGGAATGGTTTCTTCTCGTTCCACAGAGGCACAACATATAAAGTTCTTTCTTACCACTTCCCCAAAGGAGGCAGCCACCATGTGTGTTACTGGAGTCAAGTATGATGCAGAGCCATGGGGCAGCACAGATTTCACATTCTCATAGGTGATAAAAAACGCAGCAGCTGAAATTCAAGCATACATTCAGTCATTTAACCGTCCCTCCATTTTTTCATCATAGAACTAGCCCTAGAACATAGAACTAGAACATTTAGAGGTGAATTCTGTCACCTATTATTTTAAAAACACATTTGAAAAAATATATATATATTGCCCCAAAACTCTAACACTGTAGGAAAACAATCTGTAGGTAAATCTTCAGCAGTTTATGCTCCTAGTGGGCACATCTCCCATTGACACCAAAGGTGCGAAGGCTTCAGGCAGCACGTAGTTTTGAGATAAGGAAGGAGATGTTAATGAGTCCTGACTGTCCAACAGGTTTTGAAAAAACCCTAATCTTTCATACCTGTGGAGGGGAAGGTAGAAATGATACTGTTCTGTCCCAGTTGAATTGGACAGGTGACCTTAAATAAAGAAGCAAAAATAATCAAAATAATTGATACAAACCTGCTACACTGCAATCTGCAAAACCATTTCAGTGGCAGTTATCAGTAACTTCTTCCTAGTTCAGCATTTTACACTTTAGCTCCAGAAAGAAATTCTTCTGAAGTTCCAGTGGACAAGAAACACAGAAAACTAAACTGAACATAACAAGAAAAAGTGCACTTATTCACTGCAAGTCAACTGCAAAGGTACTTGTACCTTAAGGGTTACTTCTTCTCCTAACGATAATTTCAGTTTTGAGTCATATGCTGGAAAGATAAAAACACAGTTCAGATTTTGAAGATGTAAATCTTGAAAAAAACTGACATGTCTTGCGGGGGAACGGATTTTAATTGTAAAGAAGGACTACGTGAATTGCCTTCTGCTAATCAAAAGATGCTTATCACCTCAAAAGGAGATAACCGAGCAGACAAGATAAAGAACTGAATTTTTTATATCATCTTATGAAGGACATCAAACATCTGAAGGTGTAAGGGGATTTGTCAGCAAAGTTCTCCTAACATTTACTACTGACAGCAGAGCTTGGTGTTTTTTTTCTCCTTCCCTACAAAGACAAAATGGACAAAGGCATTAGGATTTTTAGATGCCTTTTCTCTGCAGGGAGAAGTATTAATTTTTTTTTTTAATGTTGCAGTTTCAAAGGTATTCCTAATGTCTTTTCATTTTAAGTGATTTGTAGCTGTTTCTCAGGGAGGAAAAGATGTGCAGAGAATCCCCAGGACATTCAGTTCAAAGACCTCCAGTGCTCAAGCACTTTCTGATTCATCTCCATCACCATGGAAGGCCAGATCACGACAAAAGCATCCACGGCAAGCAGAACTTGAGTCTTCTTTGGCACCTGGAAATGCCTTGGGTGCCCTGATTAAGTAAGAAGTGGCTCATAAGGCATATCCAGGAACACTTCCAAGGAATAAGGGCCATGCAGGGAACATTTAACATCAGCAGCTACTTGCCCACTTGTTAACCTTTACAGCTCATTTATTTAAGATAGGTTTGAACTGCTGGGCTACGCCAATCACTTATGCACTGCTCCCACCACAGAATGATGCTTACAATAGCAGGATTCATGCAGATGTTTGAGAGAGTAAAAACACAGTGGAGGAGGGCACCAAACCACACCCACATTAGAGACGTACGCTGCCTGCGACACCAGGACAGGCTTCTTTAAGCACAAACACAGCCTCCAGGTCCCACTGACAGGGGACTGTTCTTTGCCAAAGCTTTCAGAGAAGTTCCCTACAGCTTGGAGCTGAACTGGAGGAATTAACCCACAATGAAAACCTCAGATACGAGCTGCATGTTTGCAAATGTTCCTGTTCAGGCAAGTTCCCAGCTGAAATACAGCACTAAGGACAAAACACAAGAACAGAGTAAGTACACAGCAGCCTTTACTCCAAGCGTGCTCAGAGATTCTGTTCAGTGTCATACAACCCTAGAAGCTGTACTTCACAGCTGGACACTGTCCCACAGAATCCAAACTGTCACCTGCAGTAGAGGAAGCCACTGACATGAATGTCCTGTGCTACCAAATACCCACTTAAGGGAAGATAAAGCACAATCCGACCAAGATTTACCATTTGGAAAGGATCCTATAGCAGTGGAGGGAACACCAGCATAGATGCCACGAAAGCCACCAGCCTTCCAAAATCCTTGGGGACTTTGCAGTCTGGTTTTGACAGTGTCCAGAGGAAAAAGGATCAAGTCGACACAGACACCAGCAACTCCGCCAGCCTTCAAGATAAAATCACAAAGTGCATTAACATTCATGGGCGTGAAGCTGCAGTGCTTATGTGAGCATCCAAGACATGCCTAAGCCAAAGCACTACCGAGAGTATCCTTTCTGAGATCAAATTATAAACTGATAGTCCCACACAGATCTCCTCAACTTCTACAGCTATAATGAGAGATTACAACCTTTAAACCATTTAAAGGTGTTTTCAAAATAATCTCATTATGTTGCAGAGTACAAGCAAAGCAAAGCAGCGCTTATCTACCAAACCTCAAAGCAAGACAGCCAATGTCACTTATCAAAATGCCACAGCACAGAACCACCAATACCCCTAGGAAACTGTGTGATAAGATCAGGGAGGACAGAAGCAATTCTGCTTCCCTGTGAGCATCTCTAGAAAGCACACTCACATTTCCTAGCAAACTTCGTACTTATAGTGTTCCTGCCCACCCTTTTCCTTTGTTGAACAAAGCCTAAAGCAAAAATTTTTTGTTGTTGTTGATGTGAGCACATAGAAAAAAATAACATATGAAAGTGATAATATATATATCGCTTATATATCACATATATATATATATAACATATATAATATATAATAATATAATAATATATATGAAAGCGATTTTTCCAAAGCCATAAGAAAAAGTGGAAGGTTTTCTTTTTTTTTTTTTCTAAAGCAATTCCTAATACTACCCCCCCCCCCCCCCCCCCAAAATAATTTCAACTAAAGTTCAAGTTTTCTCAGCATCTGTATTTCTAGGTGACTTTGGTTTTAGGTTTCCCCAGAACGTGGCTGATTTGTAGAAAATAATTACTTGCCAACAGCAAGAAGAAGGGATTGAAATAAAGTGGAAAAAAAAATAAAATAAAAAGGAAAAAATATTTAGTGATAATTCCTTATATTCGATGTTATTTATTCAATGCTGTTCAGAACAAGACACACTTTGCATAAATCTACCGCATATAGACAGCAGGCAAGAAACTATCAGAAGTTTTTAACTCAGTCTGAAAGCAAATCACTTTCTCCTGTGTTACTCTGATTTTTTTTCCAGTGCCAACAGAGGATTCAGAGAGGTGTTGAGTTGCTACTACTGGAGTTTTAATCAATAAGTTAATTACTCTTTTAATCTATTTGGCTATTTTGCATGCATTGATTTTTCTTCACTCTTTTTCATCAAAATCCTTATCTGCTCAAAATAGCATTGATCAGATTTAATCAGATTTAACCGAGCCATCTGCTAAAGCATGAATCAAAAGTTACTAATTGCTTCTTTACTTTGCAAACTCCTGCATCTTAACGCCATTTAAATGCACGAAGCAGCGAGGGGCGCACCTGCCAGAGGGTGCCAATACCAGCGTGCTTATAACTGCAGTAGAACAGAAATTATTTTAGGCAAAAAGACAATCAAAATAATTTAATTCCCTGGCTGTCAGTCACATTAGCCTTACGAGGAGCTGGAGACACCCCACAGCGGGCACCCCACTGCCCTTACATGGAACCAGACCCCAATTAACAGCACCCAGCGCGACCAAACGCTGCCCGGCCCGGGGACACAGGGGGCTCCCTGCACCCCCCCGCACCCCCAGGCCAGGCCCCCCCGCGCCCTGTGTCCCCCTCGGCCCCCCCCCAAAGGCCCAGCTCGGGCCTAGGCCGCGGCCCCCGCGTCGCCATGGCAACGGGCAGGCCTCGGCCCCCGCACTCACCGCCAGGGCCGCCCACGACTCCCGCGGCTCCATATGCGGGGGGCGGCGGCACAACCCGGCACGGGGCAGCACCGCCCGGCCCGGCCTTGCCCAGCACGGCCCTAGGGGAAAGGGAACCGGGCTCAGGTCCCCGCAAGGGCCTAGCCCCGCATGGGCGCGGCCATCTTGGGGCCCCCGTGCCACGGTCAGGTGGGCGCCGGTCCCGCTGCGCATGCGCCCCCGCCGCGGATGGCGGGGAGCGGCCTCAGCGCCTCAGTAACGGGCACCGAGCGTTAATGAGCCATTAATTAGCGATGAGTCGCGTGCGAGCAGCGGTGCTGCTTGGGGATCTGAGGTGGTTGCCGCTCTTCTGGCCACGAATACTCCTGAGTAGCCGGGGGGCGTTTCTGTGCCCCCCCCCCCCCCCCCACTGACTGTGAGGAAACGAAACCGAAATCCAATAAAATTGAATAAAAATAAAGTGTTTCTGACAGGAAAACAATTCTGAAGTCACTTCTTTTTTCTCAATTACCAGCGTAATGACGGCAGGGGAGGCAGTGGAACACCCAATGCGCAGACCTACTGCTGCTGCCCTCAGATTCCCCTGCGAACACCAAACTGATCCCAGCCATGGCAGGGGAACCAATGAAACCTTCTGGCAGGGGTCACCTCTGCTGCCTGGCTTCCCAGGAGCCAACATCAGCTTTCACTGGCAGAGAAAATGCTGCCCTTAGCTCCCATCCCCTCAGAAACGTTTCTGCATCTTGTGTTGGGGTCTCTGAGGCTTCTCACCTTCTCCACAAAGGGCGCCCAAACCCACAGCGGGGTCAAAAGATGTGAAGAGATTTTGATACAGAGCTCTCACATAATCCTCACCCAGCAGAAAGTCACACTTGAAATTATAGGAAATATGATTCTGGAGGAGGGAAAGGGGGTAGATGTTAGAAAGCACTATAGACAGTGCATGCAGAGCAGGCAGATCGGCAGGCTTTAATTCAAGGTTTCCTTGGCTGAGAGCGCTCTGTCTGGGAAGACTTTGGAGGTAGAAGCTGAGAAAGCAATGATGCCTCACATTTGCAGCATCAGTGACATCTTCAGACAGCTCAGCCCCTCTTTGGCAGAGCACTGAGGATGTTAGCATGTGGGAAGCACTCAACCTGTAACATCTGCCCTCAGCAGTGCAGTGGCTGACATCAAAATGGAGTTGCCAGCTCTAGCAAACTTACTACAGCCCTTCTACAACTCAGTGTTTTTTCCTGAACACCTGCATTTCTCAGGGACATGTGATGTTGGTTAGAATAGTCTTCATATTGTCTTCATTTTCATTTGAGTGAAAAGCTCAAAGCTCTGCAATCAAATATAGAAAGAACCTGAATGTGTTATATTTCTCACTCTGCTTTGACTTTTAAGGCAGACCTTGGTTTTCTGGTCCTAATTTACAATTTTATCTGCTCTGGTGTATTATCAGTACTTCATTTTAATTTAGTCTTTGTTACGTTCATTGAGGATCACCTCCTGATTTCCTATCAGCACATGATCAAACAAGTGGATTTCTTTGACTTTACAAGGACTCTTGTCCCCGTTATGGCTGGCTTTCCTTCCTTTATTCCAACACCTGTGATTCCTTGGAAGGGCTTTGGGGCCAACCAGAGCCAGTTTGCTATCCAAGGAATTACTTCCTGAAAACTTTGGGTTGGATTCCTGGAAGAAACAGGAGCCAGTTACACATGTCAGCTATAATAAAGGGAACATGGGACTGAACAGTTATTGAAGTAATACCCAGCAGAGTGCCTGACTTTCTGAAAGAACCCTGCTATTTAGGTAGAAGTAAAAATGATCCAAAATCTACCATTTCCAGCTGGTGCTCTGCTAAGTGACTAAATAAACACAAAAGCCTGAAAGTTCCTCCGTTTCCAAGTCCACATCTGTCATTAGATTAGGTACTTCAGAGCAATATTAAGGGGGGAAAAAAAAAAATCAGACGTCTGCAGTAAATGAAGCATAATTTTAGAGCTACCCCTATATAATCCACTGATGGCAGCACTTGAAAGAAGACCTTATTTTCCATGTGTGCCCAGGTCTCTTGATGTAAAGGTGCTTCGGGTCATAACAAGAATTTTTCACATTGTTCAATGCAAAGCTTTCAAATACACTCAGTGGCAGTCTCTTTTATTTAGCACCTTCTGTCAGAAGAACTGCTGCTGGCTCAAAGAGGTCACAACCTCCTTCTCATCCAAGCCAACATCATGTCTTAAATGAACAAGCTCCGCTTAAATGCTACAGGCCAAGCACTAATCTTTGTGCAGAGTCCTTCAATGGACTCCCCCTGAGTAAAGAAAGAAGTCCATTTTCTCACGTCCTTTCTGAAGCTCAAGGGCTGAAGGATGAGCTAGGGAGGCTGAGGCATAGCCCTGTGATGCTTCTTCCCCACGGCGCAGGTGGTTGTCCAGTGGTTTTGCCAAAGTCAATCTACCAGATGACTAGGCCAGCCAGGGCTTTCAGACCTGCCAGTCTCCTAAAATATAAGCTGATTACAGCTTTTCTCTCACTACTTTTCTACTCAGTAGGGTCCTGGTTTCTGTTATAACACGTAAGTTCAAAGTTTTTCAGTCAATTCATCCACATGACTTTCAAGCACTGAATAATTTCACATGCTTTCTTCCTGCCTGTAGGATTTCTTGTTTTCCTCTCCCCCAGTAGCACTCTGTCTTTAGTTAAAAACTACAGCCCAGGAACATCCACCTGCTCAGCCCCTTTTCATCTCTGCCCTTCCCTGCCCATGGCTGCAGGCTAGCAGGAGTGCTTGCAAAAATGACCGCCAGGCCTACAGCACCTCACCTGCTTCCCCCAACCTTTGCAGCACATAAAAGCCTTGGCAAGAGATAAAAATCCCTTTAATCACAGTATGGTAAAGAACACGTTGTGTCTATGGATGCCCCATGTGGAATTTTGAGTTGCCGACATCAGAACAATCCTCTGTGCTGTGCAAAACATAGGGAACAAATATGGGCCGCCGATAGGGCCTCTTTTTATGGGCTGCTTAAGCACCATTTTGAATCCGTTTCACATTATTAATCCTTCCACTGGTGGGTATTTATGTACAAAAAGGCATATATATATGGATATATGCTTGTTTACCTGTATTTTCCCTGCTGTCTCTAGCTGCTGTCGGGAGGCTGACACCAGCAGCAGAAGATATATTGATCTGGTCATAACATATTAAGGCCGCTGAAGAGCAGATGTTAAAAACAGACTTTTGGCATATATCAGCCCCTGGCGGTATCAGTTGCACACATGTTCCAGTTTATTTATTAAAGCAATTGCTCTCCTCATTCTGTTTATTATCTTTCTCCTGGGCAAGCCAGGCGCATCCGAGCCAAGCCCTTCCAGTCAGCCAGCCCCTCGCGGGTCGCCAGGTTTGCCTCAGCGCAGACAACACCCCGCAGCTCTTCCTTCCTGAGAAACCAGGCCCGGCCCGCTCTTGGGGAATGCAGATGGAAACTCAGCCCCTGCAAAAATGTGTCCTGGCATAAGTAGAATAAAAATAAAGGCTCGTGGATCCCTCTGATTTGAAGCTAAGCAGGTACGTGGCTGAGCCAGGGAGGCCATCTGCAGGGGGATGTCGGCGATGTGGCTGCGTATGGCACCCAAGGGGCTGGGATGTACTACGGGAGCACAGCATGGCAGAGCAGGCCTGCAGACAGAGACCAGAAACGAAACAACCTCTTGGCCATCAAAAACTTGTTTGTCCCCATTTTAGAACAAACTGCAACAGAACCGTGAAGTTGGAGCAGAGCAAGAGGACATCCCTGAGACCACACCATGAGCGTATCTCCCTGCAATGGAAGGAGTGACACCGGCCCTTCTCCAGGTGACAGCATTGTTCTTCAACACCCACCACGTGCACACATGAAGGCAAGGGCTCCTGACACAGTCTTGCACAAGCACAGAATTATTTCCTACAGCTTATTTCTGCCAGGGATGGGCCAGCAATGATTTAGTCACAGCTTCAGTGCAGTAAAATCTCAGAGGCAACCCAAGGCCTAGTGATAAGGGCTGTGAAGAAGCAGGGTCCTGTGCCCAGTCCATGCCCCAGAACTGCTCCTTGCCTCCAGCTGCCACCCCGGTGCCCCACAGCCCCTCTGCATGCACAGTCGCTGTGCTACAGACACCAGCCCACTTCCCTGGCTGCTGCGTGGGCTGGTGGAGCTGCTTCCTTCAGGAAAAAAAATGAAAATGAATTAAATATTAACCTAACATCTCGCCAGCAGCAGACAGCTGGACCTGGATGGGCAGCAGTTTTTCCAGCCTCTCCTCATTTTGTCAGGCACACTTTTATTGCTTTGACCCTCTTGCAAAAATACAGGGAAGGCTGTTTTAATGAGGATTTTAGAAGCATTTTTTGCTACTCATACACCATAAGCTCCCCTTCACGCTTACAGTAGCATTCCCTGTTCTTAAGAAATCTGGCCATTTTTAGAAATTTTGCTGAAATACTAATTGCAGTAAATTTTTGTGGAAGCAGATGGGGGAACCAGACAGCCAGAGATTTAATAACTCCTTTGAGTACTTAGCAGCAGAAACGCTAGTCCCCAAATTCATTAAGAGAAAAGTGATTAATGAAGTTGTAGATTTTGCATAATGATAGAAAGCCTTAAGCAGTACAACTTTCTGGTGATCCTCATTTATCCTGCCTTATTGGCTGCCTGGACAATTGGGGATGAGTGGTCTGGGAAAGACAAAATGTCCATTTTAACTACTGGGTAAAGTAAGTGAAATAACAATCCAATGGCAACACGGTGACCTTTTCCATGTGAGCATATCTGCCAGAGTCTCTGCAGTTCATCTCACAGCACAGCTGAATTAATCTAATATTTCCATTTAGCACATGAGAGAAATGGAGGAAAATCTTAATTATGCCTGCATTTGTGGCTACAGTCCAGTGACCTGACAACTGGAATCGCTCACATCTGTTCTCAGCTCATTCTGTGGGCTGATGCAATGACTTAGTTGACTCAGGAAGCAGAGTTAAGAAAAAGTTTGCGACAGGATGGCCCTAAACTGCCCAGGCAGCTCTGCAGTACCAAACTCTTCCAGGGGAGCACCCCGACATTCCCAAAGAGTGGGTTCCTTGGGCAACCAAATTGCTTGAGTCGTTCTCCTGGTGGTTTAGTGCCTTCCTCTCTTTTAAATAGAGGATTAGCAGACCTGGTCTCTTCCAAAAGCTGCAGCCAGGGTTAACAAAATACACAGTGGGCTGTCCTCTAAGAGAACAAAATTTTGTTGGGCCTATGTAAAGAAGGACTGAATTCCAATTGTATTTCCT